AGTGAGGTTAGTGTATTTAAAATGGATAAATATTGTTACTATGCCCATGTTTAGTTGACCTGATACAAATGTTTATCATCCAACAACAGCTGGGGCCACAGGTCTCTGCTACTGTTATTTTGTGGGTCAAAAGCTGAAAAGTTTTGGAACCAGTGCACTTTGGTTCCCAAAGTTGGGCTTGGGACCCAATTATGGGTCATGAAGCACCTTGGATAATCTCCAGAAATCCCTTTGAAGGGTAATACAATAATTTCTGATGTAATATTTTCTCTATAATTATTACAAAACCACAAAATAAGTATAAATAAGTATTTATATGTGTGTGCAAGCTGTTTAGATTGTCAAAAAGCCTGTGTTTTAGGGTTATTAATGACATTTGTGTACTCAGACCAGTAATTTTTGGGGTCACAAGTTTTTGCCATGGATATTTAGTGGGTCAGAAGATAAAAAGTTTGGGAACCACTGGTTTCGATTATTTATATTATCGTTTCCATGTTTATTTTCTGTTTTGTAGTTCTTGTGATTGTGTGTGTTTTCTGCTGATTGGTCCTTGGATTTTTCTCCGTATTTCCAGCCTGACACAACACACCTGTTTCTTGTTTAATCAGTCACAGCTGCAGCCACTCTACTCATCAGTCCCTCTTCTCAGGTTGTCAAGAAGTGTCCCTAAAAAGTGGTTCTCTGTTCAGATTCAGAACAAAATCAAATCTTATCTGGACCCAGATTGATTTGTAAACGTGAAAATGTGTTGTTTTTTATTACTCACATACATTTTTTCTTAGTTACTATTCCAAAGGTTCAGCTTTTCTAGCAGAACTTGAACAAACTCGATGCTGCAACCAAACAAGCGAGCCTCACGTTTTGTTGTTGTTTTTTTAGAGTGAAACTCGTGGACACAAGCAATCATTTTATTGGAAAAAGAGGATTCGTATGTACAGTACAAAAAAAGAATTCAATCCTGAATCAGTTCACAACTTTTTGCTTTTCTCTTCATACAAATAAAAACGTCACATCGTGAACATTGTTGTCTGTGAAACCTAAACCAGCAGGCGTTCTCTTGGTCTCAAAACACACAATATTGTCTTATTTCATTCTGAGGCTATTTGTTCTTTACATTTTTATTTTTTATTATGTTTTACTTTTTTTGCTGACTTCTGTTGGAGTTAACCCACGGCTCCAACTCTAATCTATACAGCCCACGTCCAGAATGAAAAATAAATATAAAACAGGAGTTTGAACACAATCCATCACCCACTGAGGGATTATAAATATGTAACATTGTGGCAGAAGGAACTTCTTTTTTTTCCAGTTTGACATTGGGTGTTGCTCCTGTTATGTTGGTTTGGCTGAGAAATGTTTGAAACTCCCCAAAATATTCCAGAAAAAGGCTCATCTCCTCGGTGCTCTCCGTCGGTTGATTGAAACAATTGCATAGCTCTGAGAGTCGGCTCCTGCTCTCTCAGACCAAATCAACAAGAAAACACCGACGGTTTCAACCAGAAATGAAATAAAYGACTCATTTTTACAGTCACTTAGCTGAAAAAGAAACAAACAAAACACAAAATTTAAATGAAAATTTCCCTGCCAGGTGTTATTAAAGATTTCCCATAGACACAWTTTTTTGTCATTATTTGTAAATTTCTCACATTTGTATTTAAATTCACATTAAAGCAACATTTTACCTGGTAAGACATTTACAGTTGCATGCATCGATCATGTCAACAAGCTAACTGAAATCATGTTCAGAAATGCTCCAGCCAAACATTGCTTTAACTAAATTTAACGTGAATACATTCCACTTTTATTCTGCTGATTACTTTCTTTGTGCACGAGGACACACGACATGAAATGTATCAAACAGCTAAAACAGAGGGAGCTCGCTTCCTGCTCGACTCAGCTGCAAATGTTTCATTTCACATCCACTTATTAATGCATGGCTGGTACATTTTTAATGGGAGTCAATGGGACTGATTGATACATGTTGAATGAGGTTTTAATCGTATTGATGAGCTCTGAGATCCTCAAGAGTTTCATGAAGAAATTGTTACAATGTTTGGATTTTTTAAAAATAAATAAGACAAAAAAGATGATGTACAGAAATAAAACACACACATACACTAAATATCTACTCGTGATCTACTATTTCTGCTACAGTGTGTGACAGCAGTGGAGTGTTCGTGTTTTACCGGAGCAAAGACACATTTTTTTGTAGCTTTATTTGGGCCTCAGGGCACGCCGTACAAATGTTTCTGTCTGTCTTACAAGAGCAGAGCTTCTCTCCCTACGTCGCTCGTCTCCTCGCCTTCGCTCTTAAATATTTCATCGCTGGCTAAGTCCACAGGAAGGAAGAGAAGGAGCTGCYTCCTTCAGAGCGAAACTCTCCCTTCTGGACTCCTTGTGCTCTTTTAGCTGCCTTCTAACTCGCTCTCGTGTCTCTCCCGTGTCATCAAGTGTAATGCAAGAAATAAAAAGACAACACAGCTACCACCGTGCAGGAAGTGGTAAGTGCAGTCGGGAAGGTTTTGGTGGCGCAGAGAGTCGGTGGGGCAGACGCTATAGCTCGCTGTGGCGCACAGGAGGTTCTAGTTTGTGAGACAACGCGGTGAGAACTTTGTCGAACTTCTCGTAACGTTCTGATTGGCTGCCCTCAGAACCGCGGCTGCCCCACAGCAGACGCATCTGGAACTCGGTCTGGAAGATCTCGCTCAACTCCGCTCGCTCCTGAAATCCTGAGGAGTAAAAAAAGACATGGTTACTCTGTGTGATTCATAACAAGCAAAGTCTAGGAAAACACAGAAATAAGAGAATTATATTTAGATAAAATCATAAAAACATGACTGTTTAATATTTAATATTAATATTTAAGTCCAAAACAACCACACAGCATATAAATAAATACTATGATGCAACAACAAACTGAGAGTTTCATCAAAATCCACTCAGTTTTTGCTGACAGATGCTCAAACACACACAGATACAAGCAGTTATATTATCTCCCTTTTAAAGTAGCCTTATGCCGACTTTCTTTTGTATTATGACAGCTAAACCTTTTAATTTATTATAAAATTAAAGCTATAAAATGAAAAACTACAAAATCTGTATAAATACTCAGTGGTGTGCACAGCTAACCAAAAAGTTAAGTACACTAACCATTAATCTGATAAACAGATTTATAAAAATTTTTATAAATTAATCCTAATMGCTAAGACGACTGTCACTCAGGCTGACTGGTGGGACTGACACAAACCTGAAGGTGGGTGGGATCATCTGTGTCAAATCAGCCAATTCAAACCAGCTATAGCTCTGTCAATCTTGTGAAACTTCCAGTTCACCCCTTTCAGAATAAAAGCATTTGTTTGCTCAATTTTACAGTTTGGTTAGTCAAACAAAAAATAGCAAATATTTTATCTACCGTATTTTATAAGTCACCGATTTTTTTGTATTTGCTATTTAAAATTTTTTAAATTTTATTTTATTTCTTTTTGTCGCTCTTTAGTGTTTTTTAAGTTTAGCTGCTACAGATGCTACATGTGTCTGATACGTCCAGCACTGCTTTTATGAAGGGACGATTTAATTCGGGACAAATGGTATAAAAATAGGAATTGAACACTTGTGAATTTTTTAGTGGACGTTCCAAATTTAGCAAAAAGGCTAATCAGCTAAATKAGAAGCTAGTTCCGCTAATCCACTAATAGCGGAACYGTGCCCATCACTGTTAATCAGTCCGATTCTGTATGACTAGAACCTGTTTGTAAGACTTCAAATTGATCTCAGCTTTTTTAAGCCCTCATTCTTCACTGTAGAGTAGAATCACTTCTACCAGTTAGCATTTATTCACAAGACAAAACAGTCTCTGGTTAATAGAAAATCAGCTAAAACATAAACATCTCAATATGCTGATAGAAACATGGATGACGGGAGCAGACTGAGGTCAGGAGGATCAATAACAGGTTCTAACAGGAAACAGAGGCGCAAGCTAAAAGCTATTGACAAGCTGTTCAATAAAACAGTAATGGCCTCAAACGGAGATCCAATAGAGAGKTATTAGGATCAATACAGTCAACATGGTAACCACACACGATCGATCAATATGTTGCTGTGACACTGAGCCCAGTATTTACAACGGGTTTGATCAGATTATCGTTTTATTTTTTATTTTTGTTTCTTCCACTGTAAGTATCTTTGAGAAGAACAGGAAGATCTTACCCTGCAGTTTGGTCTCYACGTTGGTTCTGTAGATCTCAGCGTGGTGAGCGACGCTTCGTGCTGCCTCTAAGTGGAACATGACCACATCCACGCCCGCCTCGGAGCTCTCCCACGGCTCGGGCACCTCGCCGACAGCAGCGCCGCGCTCCAGTAAAGACAGGACAGGGAGGATGTGGGGGAAAGACGTGCTGGACACGACGCTGGACTCTGGAGGACGAGGAGAGGGTGGGGATCAGCTCAGGAACATTTCGTATTTCTTTCTAAACAGCAAACACGTGGAGTATCTCACCTTTGCCGTCATTCATGTTCTTTAAGAAAGGCTTGAGTTTCTTCTCGTACAGAATGGCTCCTTCCGTGTGTCTCTGACGTAACGTCACCCACGTCTGCTCCAGGCGGGAGATCTGATGGAAGACAGGTGTAAGCACTTTGTAAAGCGTGTTTCTAACGGCGAGGGAAACCTCTGCTCGTATCGGCRGGTTCCTCACCTGCGGCAGCTCCAAAGCTCTCATCACAGCAGCAAAACCAAACATGTTCCCCAGGTTGCTTTTCAACTCGGCTGCTAACTGGATGGTTTTATAGAGGAGGGCGGCCCGCTCCTCTGTGCTCCCTGTGCAGCCGAGCAGGTCCACAGCCATCATGATGGACATGGTGTAGAACCTGAGAACATGCAAAACTAACTTATTAAAGACTAAAATACACAAATTACTTTCATATGTAGTTAATAGTGTAGTTATAGATATCCTGTGTGATAAACTGTAGCTCATAGTTGAATTTACATCAACTTTTAGCTTAATATCTGTAAAAATGGCTGAGGCATGGACTTTTTTGTGTAATTAGCTGTTTTTGGCTTTGGCTGTGTCCATGTTCAAGGGCTGCATTTGAAGCGTTACATCACAGTGATGCACCGGCTGTCCAAATTCAAAGACTCCTCTATTTTTCCCCAAACTGAGGGATGGTCTGGTGTTTCCTTCTCAGCCCACCCTGTCACAATCGCTATCGCTAAACCAKTTGTATCATCTTGCCCTCTCGCGGGTTGTTCAACTCAATTTTCCTTTTGTGTATTTCAAGCKGTTGTTAAAGGTAGCACAACTGTGTTTGCTGCATGACCGGTTTCACCTGTTCCCCCATGTTTGTCTTGTATGTCTTCTTGAATGGGTGTTTCTTAACTGCCCCCTCCCCACTTCCCTGAATGTACAGCACCTTGTGAATGTATTTCTGGGAAAGGCGCCATATAAATAAAACTTTACTTACTTACTTACTACTTACTTACTAACTTTACCAGATGTACCAACCGGTAGATTTTTTTCTTATAATGGCAGACGAAGTAAGAGACAGGAGTACAATTTTAAATAAAAATCTGAAAGTATTAAAAACTGAAAATTTAAAGCTGTTGAGTTGTTAGGTTTTRTCATTTAGACATGCTTTTTAAAAATATCGTTCTTGTCAGATATCATCGTAAACAAGCTCGTATGGTGTGTCCCTTAGTTTTTCATGTGTTGACGCTAAACTAATTGTATGAATTTATAATAGTAATAACAGTGATATATTAATATTTTGCTAAGTTTGATCTGTTTTCAGTTTTAATTGCATCTGTTTAGCACCAGCTAAACAGCTGCCAGGTGACAGGACATAAGCCAGGGAAACCCGTTTTCTTCTGGTCTTCATGGTCGAGAAAGGACCTGGCCCACATAAACAGCGTAGGCCTGGTCCTTTGAAGGACACAGCCCGTGAATTTGGATGCAGCCATTGTGGCAAAATTTAAACATGAACAAAGTGTAGTATAATAAAAAGCACATGCGTCAAACTAAAGACCCTACATGGCATTTTATGTGGCCTGAGAGTTTCAGAGATGTATTTGTGTTTTAAAATAAGTTGCTTTAAAGACAACGTTGACCAGAAACTACATTTCCCAAGATGCATGTTGATTATTTTACCTGCAGAATGATGGCATCTTACCACCAGGTGGATACGCACAGGGTTCAAAAGTAATCATTTCACTGCATTTTTCTCAGCTATTTTTGCTGCAGCCCAGTTGTACCGGGAAGTGGGAATTTCCCACTTACAAATTGTAAACTTAAACTGGAATGCCCTTCAAGTGGGAATGCCCTGTCAGAAAGTGGGAGAGTTCAGAATTCAAGATGGTGGCTACTCACCACAACTCACCATTGAGTAAAACTCTCCTACCTTTACTTTTAATAGTATTTCTGTAATATTTATTTCACATTTAGTCAGTCGTACAGAAAGTACTTTTAAATGTTTATAAGAAGACTTGTTAAACGCCGTTTCTATGCAGGAAATACCACAGAGAGCTCAGTTGTTGCTTTTTAGTGATGTGACACTTTGTGTTTAGTTGACGTTAAATATTAAACATTGAAGTTAATTACAACTGGACCTTTGAGGGTCACCATAACACTCATGTGACCTTCGATGAAAATAAGTCAGAAACTCCTGATCCGAAGGATCAAACTGGTGTTCTGATCTTTTTCACGCGTGCATTCATACCTCTCCAGCAGGTCAAGCCTCAGCTGGTGTCCATGAGGTAACGTCAGCAGCTCCAACCCTGAGGAAACTCCCATCATCCTTTGCATTTCTGAAGTTACACCTGATATTCTTGCAACCTGCCCAAATTACAAAAAACAAAGAATTAATTATTCGTTTGCATCCATGTTGTCCACACAGGTTTTGGTGGATACATCAGTTGCTGGTGTAACCAGGATGCGTTACCTTGCAGTCCAGCAGGGTGATGTGTTTAGCCGCGGTCCTGGCATCAACCTCGCCCAGCAGCTCTTTGACTCTCTTCAGCACAGACATCTCCAGAGGCTTATTTTCAGCAGGAAGAAGGCAGGATTCGTACCTGCAGACATTTTACAGATTTAGTATACTCTAACAGGAGTTCTGACAACAGTGAACGGCGCTGAAGAAGTGTAATGAATTCAGATTTTGTGTATTTTTCAGTTAGGATGATTTAATCTGGTTTATTTCATACCTGGAAGGTCTGAACAAAGAGGTCGTCTCCACCTGCGGGGCGCTGAAAGTCCCCTCCCCTTCCTCTCTCGCTTCCGCCTTCCTCCCTTCTTCCACTCGCAGTCTCTCTACGTAGCTCTTGGCGGGGGGTTTGGGGGGTCCGGCGGGGCAGGGTCTGAGGTCACAGTAGCTCCCCGCCGTCTCCGAGGCGTGGCAGCTGGGAGGATGGGCGGGAGAGGAGTGTGCGGAGCGAGGGGTCTGCGTGGGGTACTCTGCCGGAGCGGGACCGTCCGAGGGGCTGAGCTGGGGGTCGCTGGAGCGGCGCGTGGCGGGAGAGGGAGGGACGATGGCCAGGATCCGCCCGCCTGAGTGGGCTCTCTGCCTGGTGACTGAAGTGAGAGGGGCCGTCAACTCTCCGAGGAGCATGATGATGTATTATTTATGTGTCTGAGTCGACTTACTGGCACTGTAAGCAGGAGACAGAGGGGTTTCCCCGACGGGCGACAAGGGGCAGCGGTACTCCTGAATCTGGTCCATGCTCATCGCACAATTCCGCATTGCATCTTTATGGTGGTGGATCGTTGACGGGCTGCAAACAGCAGTTCAGAGATTTTAAAAAAAAAGATTTTTGCGAGACATTATCAGGAAACTAAATGTTATTCTTTCAGGGTGAGAAAAGAGGAAGACATATTAGTTGGCAGGGCAGTAAAATGCATCTTGTTTGTGTTATTTCTACACTCAAACAATATTTAGGAGCAGAAGCAGACATGCRTCATGCAGTGTGAACACATGAGATTCCTACAGACATCTAAAACAAACCGGAAACCACTTTAAAGCAACTTCCTGTGTGTTAGAAGTGAAGAGTAAGCACATTTACTTTGTTGCAGATCTTCTTTTTTTTTTTTAGGAAGTTTGTTTTAAAACGTGACTTTTACTTTTATTTCATTAAAATGTGACACCTTCTTACACTGTACAGATTTAAATATGACTGGGAATCATCATGAAAAGATTTGTACATTCACTTTAAAAAAATTAAGTGTTGAATTTACTCAACTGATTCCGCTAAACCGAGTCGAGTAAATGTAAAGCAATTTACTCAACTCCCATATGTTTGTACAAATGCTCATATTAATGTACTTTCACACCCTGTGTTAGACATGTATTTAATTATATGCTGAAAATGTCTGCCCTTGGCTTTCGTAGTTTTGTCTACATTAATACTTAAAAAAACACAAATAATATTCATTCAAAAAGACTTAACTACTAACAATTGCTTTAATTATTGATACCTGCAGGATTAGTAGATAGTCAGTTCAAACATTCTCTAACCATTAATACATGTCTAACACATGGTGTGAAAGTATGTTTATATGAGCATTTATGTACATTTACACAAAGTATAAAGAATAGTTACTGTAATCCATAAGTTATTAAGCATGAACAATAAATTTGTTGATTTTTTAAAATAATTCGCCTTTATAGGTAAAGCATTAACAAATGTCTTAATTTATAGTTTATTAAGTATGAATCATTCTTAATTATTGATGTTTTTAATGTTAACTAACCTATTATTAATGATTAAGTAAGGCTAAATAAGGTGTAGTYTTTACCAAAGTCCTTTTCTGTTGAGGAATTTTTACATTTACTTAGTTATTTTTTGCAAGTACTTCATACATTTCTGGTTAKAAGAACAGGTTTAATGTTCTATGAGCCCAACATCTCTGTATCACTGCGTTGCAACATATCTGCCTGCTCCTTCATCAAGTTTAAAACAGCAAAATTCTCTGTTAAACTTGTTTGATTCAGTGCAGAAGTGAAAAATTCAGTGATTCTGGTTCTAAACACAAAGGGAGGTGATGATGGTGTCTGTGAGCTGAGGGGTTTTTCGGGGAGTTTGGAAGGGATGTGCACCAACTTTAAGGGTACAACAGAAGAACAACACTAGTGTAACACACAGGAACACAACCTGCATTTGGACCCAGGTTCCGGCTCTGGTTCTGACGGTGCCACTGGGGTCTCAACTGGACTGGGACTGTCTGAGTCACTAATAGTTTACGTAACATAGAACGAAGCAAGAAGAAGTTTGTAAGGCTGTAAAAAAATGGATTTTTCTACAACTTGTAGAAAGAAAAGATGGAATTAGTTTTTACTGGAGAGGCCAGCTCCACATTCTCACCTGTGAGGCATCATCTTCTCCGTCGTGAGCCCGTCCATCATGGTGACACTCCGCCTTTTGATGTACGCCCCCCTCTGACTGGACGGCGAGTAGGCGGAGCCGTGCTTGTTGGCGAGGGCGAATGTGGCCTCCAGGTAGCGCAGCGGGAGAGTCCGGCTGACGGGACAGTAGATGTGGGCTCCGCTGGACTGGGAGACCACTTTGCGTTGACCCACGTAGAAGCGAACGAGCTCCTGGACCGAGTCGAAGCTGTCCGACTCCAGAACATACTGAACCTGAAGGACCAGGATGGAAAAGAAACGTAACTTTATTCACACATTCACAGCAAACAAACTTTGGTTTGGACGACTTTAGCTCAGATCTTAACACACCTGTTACTAATGATGATCAGATCTTAACACAACTGTTAATAATGATGATCAGATCTTAACACACCTGTTAGTAACGATGATCAGATCTTAACACACCTGTTACTAATGATGATCAGATCTTAACACACCTGTTACTAATGATGATCAGATCTTAACACACCTGTTACTAATGATGATCAGATCTTAACACACCTGTCAGTAATGATGATCAAATCTTAAAACACCTGTTACTAATGATGATCAAATATTAACACACTTTGTAAAAACACAGATTGTAAATAAATAATATGGTTTTCTGCATGCTGAGTGAAAACTTTACTCAGCTTTCCAAACTGAACAAAGGCCTTGTTAAAATTATTAGTTACACCTGTACTTTTCCTAATGAACAGCTTAAAGCTGGATGATTTATTTGAGCCTCTTATGTGAAATCTGGATGGAATAAAAGCCTAGAAGAATGCAAATCAGCTTGCTAAGATCGACTAAGATCAGCTCATATTCAAAAACAACAGAATTATAGTTGTTTTCATCCAGTCTTGAAAACATCTTATGTGATGTCATGAGACACCATGCTCAGACTATGGATTGTAAATTATTCATCACCTACTACCACATCAGATTTCAGCATAATATCTGTAAATTTGAATGATTTAGAGTCAATTTTATTTTCTTTCTGGGGGTTTCATTAAAGCTCGTCCAGTGGTTCTTGAGATATTTTGCTAACAGACAAACTGGGTTGAATCCAACAGCTTATCTTACTGTGAATGACTCTCAGCTACACCCACATCAAACTTTAGCATGATTTCTGTAATACGGTCAGGGTCAGGTATAGGCAGTACAGAGGATGCCACAAATGGGGAACAAAAAATATAAATAACTTTTTATTAGTGTTGATTTAGTCTGTAGAATATTCACTGTTCACTCAGGTTTATGAAGGTAACTTGTTCTATGAGCTTCTCAGCTGCTTTGTTTCTGTATATGAAGTGTTATATGGTACAGAGGATATTTCATGATAAGAGTATCATTTGATGCAGTCAAGACTACTAACGTTCAATGTGTAAGCAGAAAACAAAATAAGGAAAATGAAAGTTTCAATTAAGATCTCAGAAAAAGTTCAGGTTAAAGTCTGTTTTTCAGTGTTCTACTTTCATAAAAAACAGATTTAATGTTTTATTAATCCCAAGAATTTAGTCAAATGCTCTTTAAATGGCTTTGAGTAGCTCTTACCAGGAGAAATTTCCTGGTGTCTAAAGATAAAAAAAATCTTATTAAAGACAAAATTAATTAGTCTGGTATGAGTTTTTAAATCCATCTTTTTCTCAGTTGGGGTCTATACAAAGTGGAACTGCAATGCTTTGGTCTGAATTCCTCCTTATTGTAACTCCACAAGCCCCTCTTTCACCCTTATTTTGATAGGTTTATGACTATATAGCAGCACAGAAACTTTTTATTTACAAATGAATTAAAAGATGCCAAGAAGGGAAGACTTGTCCATCCAGCCTTTCATGTTGGAGTCAGAGTCTGACCCAGAGCCAGAGGAGAATGAGGATGAACAGATCGTAATTGTTAAGTCCAGACCTTATTTGGCAGTTCTAACACAAATAATTTGACATAATAGTTCAGAAAACGTCCTAGAAAATAGAGACAACTGAACTGGTTGAAAAATATGACCCAAACAAAAGACATATAAAGATATCTTATGCTTTTACTGATATATCATTTCTGAACTCGAAGTTCACAACTAAATGTTTCAAACAGCCAAAAAATGGATTTTGCACGATATGTACACTTTTATAGCATTCACGCCAACATAACACAGTTACATTTGAGAAATTCCACATAGTGAAACAAATCTGTACCTTAGTCTCGCTGGATTTAACCAGAACTTTACTGATCTTGAAGTGAAGCACCTCGTTGTCCCATCGGCAGGTCAGAACGTAGTCGCCCACACTGGTCAGGGAGTCGTGTACGAGGAAATCTCCATTCCTCAGAACCAGAGTCTCTGACACCTAAATGATGCAAACAGCATTACATGTTAGAGAAAAACAAAGTTGAAAATTTAGCCATTGCAAGACAATAAAAGACAATAAATATTGTATGTTGAAAAAAAAAAAGAAACCAGTGACCACTCAGACTTGTTTGTGCTGCTGAACAAACACCCACCCCCTGCTTGTTAAACTGTTTTGGTTCTGCACAGCTCAGTCAGGCACCAACAGATAAAATATGACAACGGGACAGAATTACTTCCATTGATGATCCATTTTATTGAGTTCAGCTCTACTGTAAGAATGAGACTAATTTTAAATTTATTGACCTGAGAGGCAATCAGGAGAAGTAATGCTCCACTCATGGCCCGCTGTAACAGCTCCAGGCCGTACGTTTCGCTGATGGCCGCTCGTTAATGTGCTCTCTGAGACTGGATCACATCGATTGATGAGCGGTTTCAAAAACAACTTGTAAGGATGGTGAAACCAGATGATGCAAAGGTTTTAATCTTTTGAACAGTACGTCACGTCCTGTGGGGGAGAGACCAGCAGGAGGCAGCATTTTACATGGATCAAAGGCTCCGAACCTCACACAGGAGCCTGCTTTTCTCTGCCAGACTCAAAAACATTATTCTCTTGAGGGGAGCAGCTTTTATTTTTAAATGCAACTCTCAAAGGACAGTTTGAGAAAAAAAGGACGGAAACTTTTAAAACAAAAAGGAAAAGACACAGACATAAATCCAAAATAGACATTTAAAACTAAAAGAGCGAACAGAGATTGTGATCTTTAATGAACAATCTTCACCTATGAGGTAAAGTCACTAAGTACTGTTTTGGTAACCACACGATTTGGGGTTTCCCCCTTCATTTACACCGAGGCAAAACCATGAATTTATAAATATTTTATGTAAATCAGAAGAGGAAGGACTCACAGATGGCTGATTTGAATCTGTGTCTGTGTTTATGTGTGTGTCAGAGAGAGAGACACAAGAAGAAGGACCCTCCACATGTGCATCATGCATGTGTGCGTGTGTGTTTGTGTGTGTTTTTGTCTTAGTCACCAGCTGTGAAATTCAACTGCGTACACGGGAAACATGCGCAGCTGTCTGCTTGGCAGAGTTTCCCTCCTAAATGCTAAAGCGATCGCTACAGAGCTGCAGCAGATGATGGGAATCATTAATCAGTGTCATTCTGTGGGTAAACCATCCAAACTGAGCTTTCAAAGCCAGATATGTTGTCAAAGTAATCACTCCACTAATGCTGCTGGCTGACAAGTTCATCTCACCGAACTGCGGCTTTTACGTTTAGATTTGTCCAAGACTGCACGATCATTTAAGTTCTGCTTGTCTGTTTTTGTTTGGGCTTATTAGTAGTTGATTGACTCATCTTTGGTTCATTTTAATTTCCGGGACAATAGAGGATGATTTCTCTTTGAGTGAAGTTTTCATTTTTCTTGCTTTGTTCAAAACTCTTAAGCAATCCAATGATGGTAGCTTCAAACATTCATTTAGAATCTGCTTCATAAAAGTAGAGGGCATTTACTAAATATAAAGTACAATTTTAAGGCACTCTACTTAAAAATGGCCATTTTCATGCACCTCATCCCTCAGCTTCACTTCAGCTATTTGACACTTTGAGTTATTTTCGAAATTAAAATCTACAATAAACAACAAAAAAACTATTTATTTGACCAGATAAATCCCACTGAGATCACAGGTCTCTGTTGCAAGGGAGGCCTGGGCCTACTGAACATGTTTTTGGTGTGAAAACCGAAGTACCCGGAGAAAACCCACCAAAGCACCAGGAAAACATGCAAACTCAACACAGAAGGACAACCCAAAACAGGTAACTGTGCCAAACATGTAAATCTGCCATGAAAATACTCATAAAACAATAACTAAGGTGTAAAGATTACATCTAAAGAAGCGCATTTCTACTATAAGAGCAACTTGGAAAAGTGACAAGAGGTTCTTGACACAAATGGGTGGAAAATAATATGATGTATAATATAAACTTATCACAAAAATTAAGAAAATGTGTTTGATAGATGGTTTCTTTGTTGTAATAATGTGTGTTGGTACATCTTGTTGATAGACCTGTTAATATCCTTTTTAAACAGTGCCACATGTGTAACGAACATGCAAATGTGGGCTGAGCAGTAGAGCTGAGTGTGTGGGTTGCACACATGAAAAAAAGCYAAATCTTCTCTGCTAAATAACTTATTTTATTGTTACTTGTTTTGAGCTTCTGGTACCCCCAGGTGCTGCCAATCATAAGCTTTATTGCCAACAAAAAAATTAACCTGCCAAACACAAATCTCCTTATTTTTGTGCTATGTTTATGATGACTTGTGAAATACCCTAAAATATTTTGGATTTATTTGTCAGTGTTGACAGCTGATGTCTCTTACCTCTTGGGGTATGTGCCCATGGTACCAGCCATGGCTCCTGATGTCAGCTGGACTCAGTTTCAGCTCCTCCTCCAGTTCTTTACGAAGTTTCTCAGGAGGTGACTCCAGCAGGTATTTCTCTTTGGAAAACTGCACGAAAAAATAAAATAAAAACAGAACACAGCTTCAGGCAAGGTGACATTGGCATAAACAGGTGTAACTGGAATTGTTCGTTTAAAACAAATGAGAGAAAGAAGCAAGACCGATACCAACTGTCATAAAACATCTTTAGTGTTGTAAGAGCTAGGGCTGTGTATTGGCAAGAATCTGGTGATAAGATACATATCATGACAGAGGGGTCACGATACGATATATCCCGATATATTGCGATACTGTAAGCAAGGCGATATATTGTGATTTTATTTTGTCCAAAAATTCTATTAAATAAAAACCTCTTACTGGGGAAGAAAAATGAAAAACCAAAATTCATTGTCTCAGAAAATTCTGATATTACAGAGACATACTTTTGATTCATTTAGCTGTGTTCTGCTTTTTATGTATTTTATTTTATTTGTTTCATATTTCTTATTTCATCCATATTTTCAATTATTAGACTAAATTTGACAATAAATAGTTTGAAAATATATTTTTGCAGCTTTTAGTTTTTAA